TATTAAAAAATACAAAAAAATTCTTAAAAAAGTTTTAATTATAGTATTTAGTATAATATATATAGAATCTAGGCTAATAAAGTACTTTATATAAGGGGAGTATTAAATTAACTGGCGAATACTATAACTCCGTGTAATAAAAGCTAAAAAAGCAAAAAAAGAACTATACAACTTGGATGTTCGGGGAATCGAACCCCGGGCCTGCTGAAACTCATTATAACTTATATTTTAAGTTAATCCTGCGGATCAGCCGTTATACCACTAAACCAAACACCCCTAATTGGGTTTAGAACGATTTATTTTGATTTATATAACTAGTTTCTTAACTTTACTAGCAGCGGCCCCGGCGCCGGGCCCCGTCGCTACCAATTCATAGTCGCACCTGAGAAACGATTACTTGGCTTGTCTGGAAGTCCTTAATTGACTATAAAGCAACTTATTTTAAATTATATAACTAGTTTGGCATCCCTACTAGCACCGGCGCCGCGAAGCACCCGAGAAACAATTACTTAGCTTGTCTGGGAGTCCCCAGTTAAACGGATATTTTCTGGTAGAAGGTACTCCTTCGTACCTTCCGTGGTTCCTAGCGTTGCCGTGGTCACTTCTACGGCTGCGGGCGGCAGGAGCGACTCTAATCTATGATTTTAACCGTGCCCCCTGACTTCTTAGGTCCCTCCTTCCTCAGCCTTATAATCTTCTTACACCTAATTTAATATTATCGTGGCCGCTAGTCCTTTATCACTTCCTTGTTCTTGCTTTATGCTATTAGTTTGCGTGGAAACGTTATCTGGCTCGTCAGGGAAACATGTCATGTAATGGCAATATGTGGTGGTATGTGCTTTTTTTTTAGCGCGTGTAGCGGCTTTTGGCACCTTTTAAAGTGCCTGGATGATCTGAGATTCGGGTACAGTTACGAGGGTCACAAGCCGTGCCACACGCCCGGCCAATGTTACTACTGATATTTTCCAGTTAGAAGGTATTGACTCCTTCGTGCCTTCCGCGGTTCCTAATATAGGATGGTACTGATCAAATAGCAGGCCTCAGATGGATACCTGTCTTTACAACGACGAAGAAAAAGGGCAGATTGACCGACCCAAAGTCGATAACAGCAGCAGGGCAGTGGGAGCAGCGGCGTCATACACAGAGTGTATGCACAGAAGAAACGTCGAGATGGCCAGTTGAAACTTTTTTTTATAATGTAAAACTATCTCTACGAAGATATTAGGCTCCCAATTTTTTTTTGCGCAGAATTTCATGCCCGGTAAAGGGAAGGAGCGGACAAGGAAGGGGCGGACGAGGAAGGAGTGGATAAGAAAATTGAGCAGTCGAGGAAGGAGCAGTCAAGGAAGTCAAGCGGATAAGGAAGGAGCAATCAAGGAAGGAGCAATCAAGGAAGGAGCAATCAAGGAAGGAGCAATCAAGGAAGGAGCAATCAAGGAAGGAGCAATCAAGGAAGGAGCAATCAAGGAAGGAGCAATCAAGGAAGGAGCGAACAAGAAAGGAGTAAACGAGGAAGAAGCAAATAAGGAAGGAGTAAACAAGGAAGGAGCGGACAAGGAAGTCAAGTGGTCGAGGAAGGAGCGGTCGAGGAAGTCAAGTGGTCAAGTAAGGAGCGGTCGAGGAAGGAGCAGTCAAGGAAGTCGGTCGAGGAAGGAGCGTCCGAGGAAGTCGAGCAGACGAGGAAGGAGCGACCGAGTAAGTCGAGCAGACGAGGAAGGAGCGTCTAATTTGGCGACGTCAGTTAAAATTCAATGACAAAAATCTGCGAACGCTTCGCGAATTCCTATATAAAATCTACTAAATTTTAATTTAATCAAGAATATCTTGACGAAGTTGGATTAAGGGAATTATATTTCACTTTTTAGTTAAACGAAATTGCAAGCATGATACGAGTATCGTGGCAGCGTAGCATCTGATAGCATAGTATTAGGCTGTACCAAGCCAAGAACAGTAAGAGACCAGAAAAATAGACCGTCTGCGCATCTAAACGAAATTGTATTGTAATTATTAACAACAACAACAACTGTGACTAGAACCGGGCTTAGTTCTGTGACAAGGGCTTAGGCTTAGAGCAATTACTCAATCCATCTAATAACAGTCTTTGGTATTAAAGGTTCTTAGTTTTCCTTAAAACCTTAAGGGACTAAAAATGTCTATTTATATAAGAAGTTGGTAAGGACCTTCTGCCCTAATCCCGTAACTGTAGCCCTTATATACCCGTGTGACAACAAGGAATTACAAAAGTATGACAGAGACGCCCCTGAATACCCGACTGGCAAGGAAATCACCAACAGGTATAATCCGAATGGTAAAGAAGCCGCAACGCTTTTCTTCGCGTCGTCGAGTACGACGGAGCCATCCGCAAGGATAGACTTTCGAAAGACGTTCAGAAACTTGGAGTTGGACTCGATGGATGACAAGGCAAAGGCCATAGTTGCCTTCTTGAGAGGGAAAATTTAGCCAAATTTGCCAGCGGGACTACAAAAGGAGATCAAGGCATATGATCTGGTCGATCTACTGGCTTTGAAGGAAACAACGGCGCAGGCATCAAACAACATTGCTGTTAAAAGGATGAGGCGTCTTAACATCGTCTCGAACGCCGCACGATGCCACGCAATCCTGTCACGCATATACTTGGGTCACACCTATTTGCACGATAAATTTAAAGAGTACAGAGAAATCTTTGACAATTGGGCGAATTGCCCGGACACGGAGCGCAAACCGCAAAGGAAGGCGCCAAAGGAAAAAGCCGAAGATGGGAATGACGCCCCCAAATCGATCTTGAAGAACCCAGATGACGGGGATAGCGCGAAAAACGGAAGGTGAAGTTCGCCGACAGGGACCGCCCGAAGAAGCAGGCCAAGATCGAGGATGCAATCGCAGATTTGGACGGAAAAAATAACAGCATCAAGGAGGAAATGAAGAAACACTCGCGATCAATCAACAAATATGGAGCGAACATGGCGGAAATCGCGGACCAGGTCAAGATCTTGAAGGACGCGCAGCAGAAAAACGAAGCCGTCGAAACAGCTCAGAGGGAGAAATTAGACAAAATCGACGTACCAGTTGGGGAAATTTTTGAAGTGGTCGAGATATCCAACATGGCGTCTAGAGAAAAATTCATGGCAATCAACAAGGACAAAAAAGAAAAGATGGAGGAGTTAGAGAAAACAATTAAGCGCATCAAGTTTCAGATAGCAGTGGACAAGGAAATTAACGCCAAGGAGCCCAACAAACGTCGCATCCGTCGTCGCAGGAGCGTTATTCATGATGACGGCTGGGGTTTGCGCTGGTGCCGCAATGGTCGCATCTGGAAGATCTTAAATGGATGGATGGATGGATTAGATGAGGTCTTGATTCGAAGGAGCTTGCTCATTGCTGGGAAATGTCTCTTTTATTCATGCGGTTATACTACCAGTCTGATAACAACGTAAGCCCTTGTCATAAGTGTAAGCAAAGCGGCAAGTCCGGAGGGGGATCAAAATTCGAGGCTTTTGGAGGACGCGCTTTGTGTCTCTGTTTCAACCCCTCGAAGCCTATCTTCTTCTCTCCCGCCAATTTGATCTATTCCTGATCTAATATCCGTTTAACTAGGGACTTCCAGACGAGCCAAGTGATCGTTTTTGGCGGCGCCGGGGCCTGGCGTCGGGGCTGCTGTTAGTAAAGTTAAGAAACTAGGTATATAATTTAAAATAAGTCAGCTAAATGTCAATTAGGGGTGTGTGGTTTAGTGGTTATAACAATTATGAAATTATCCTAGCCTAGTGCTAGGTCCTGGTAGCCATCTGGTGCCAGCGTAAACAATGAGAGGTCCGGGGTTCGAATCCCTGCACATCCAGTTTTTTTTGTAATTTTTTTACTATTTACTTTAATCTAATATTTATTTATTTTTTCATGGGATTCTCGGCAATCTGGTTTCCGTCCCATTACCCACTGGGGATCGTTAATCTGCCTTCCAAGCTGTGAAGGCTTGCGAGGGGATAAATGCAATTATAGGTGAAATAGCTGTATAAATAGATGATTTGACTTGATACTTAAGTATCCCAGAAACATTGCTTCAAAGTGGGCCTAAAATGAATCGGTTTCCCTTCTTTTGTGGTCCGGACTGTGGCCCTTTTCTCGAATTTATGTATTCTCCAAACATTGCTTCAAAATCTGCCCGAAATACATCAAGTCTTATTATTTCATGATCTGGAATGCTATCCTTGTCTCATATACGTAAACATTCAAACTTCGGGTTTTCGTTTGCAGTCGACATGAGAGACGCCTTCGATACGCGGACACCCACATAACACTTGAGTGTCTCCAGATGTGATATATGAGTGAGCAGCTGGTCAAATTCGACATCAGTGAAATCCGAGTCAGGATCATAACTAGGTCTGATGACAACGTAAGCCCTTGTCATAAGTGTAAGCAAAGCGGCAAGTCCGGAGGGGGATCAAAATTCGAGGCTTTTGGAGGACGCGCTTTGTGTCTCTGTTTCAACCCCTCGAAGCCTATCTTCTTCTCTCCCGCCAATTTGATCTATTCCTGATCTAATATCCGTTTAACTAGGGACTTCCAGACGAGCCAAGTGATCGTTTTTGGCGGCGCCGGGGCCTGGCGTCGGGGCTGCTGTTAGTAAAGTTAAGAAACTAGGTATATAATTTAAAATAAGTCAGCTAAATGTCAATTAGGGGTGTGTGGTTTAGTGGTTATAACAATTATGAAATTATCCTAGCCTAGTGCTAGGTCCTGGTAGCCATCTGGTGCCAGCGTAAACAATGAGAGGTCCGGGGTTCGAATCCCTGCACATCCAGTTTTTTTTGTAATTTTTTTACTATTTACTTTAATCTAATATTTATTTATTTTTTCATGGGATTCTCGGCAATCTGGTTTCCGTCCCATTACCCACTGGGGATCGTTAATCTGCCTTCCAAGCTGTGAAGGCTTGCGAGGGGATAAATGCAATTATAGGTGAAATAGCTGTATAAATAGATGATTTGACTTGATACTTAAGTATCCCAGAAACATTGCTTCAAAGTGGGCCTAAAATGAATCGGTTTCCCTTCTTTTGTGGTCCGGACTGTGGCCCTTTTCTCGAATTTATGTATTCTCCAAACATTGCTTCAAAATCTGCCCGAAATACATCAAGTCTTATTATTTCATGATCTGGAATGCTATCCTTGTCTCATATACGTAAACATTCAAACTTCGGGTTTTCGTTTGCAGTCGACATGAGAGACGCCTTCGATACGCGGACACCCACATAACACTTGAGTGTCTCCAGATGTGATATATGAGTGAGCAGCTGGTCAAATTCGACATCAGTGAAATCCGAGTCAGGATCATAACTAGGTCTGATGACAACGTAAGCCCTTGTCATAAGTGTAGGCAAAGCGGCAAGCCGGGGGGGGTCAAAATTTGAGGCTTTCAGGGCTGCTGAATTCGGGCCTGTTCAGGCTTGTTTTTATTTTCCCCTCCGGGGGCCGCCTGCAGCAACGTCTAAATTGCGCTGCCACGGACTCCAAGTTTTGACTGAGTATGTTGAAATCAGGTAAATTATTTGCCATGATTAAGTGAAGATGATATAATAAACATAGTAATAAAATAGATAGGTTTTGAAACGATTTTCATGATCAAAAGCGGTGTTGAGTAAAGGCAGGTGTGGGAACAATAGAGGGAGAAAGAAAGTGGCACCTGGGAGGAGTAAAACTTAGGTTTAATGTGTTGACTAGGGTGCCTGCGGCACTGTTGAAGCTGTTGAAGCTGCTACGTGGCCTTGGAAGATGCTTCAACACTACAACAGCAGGATCACGATAATCCACAAAGCTACGCTCCGGCCTTGAAATGGCGGCCTTGAAATTCAAGCCAATAACAGTAATGTAAGGTCATCTAGACCAATTATAGATCAAGTTTAAACTACATAAGGCTTGTGATTGTGGTGGCGTGATAGTCAGGGACTCTTATTAAAAAAGCAAAGCAGGAAGCTACGCTCCTTAGCACTTGCCTGCCTTCCACATATCTAACATGACATAAAACTCAACCAAAGTGCCGCTTTGCTTAATAAAACAGGATCAAGGTGAGATGCGACTCATGCTCCATGTCTCATCGGTGCATCACCTTTATTGACAATCACGACATTCAAGACACTCAATAAATCCCACCTCGGTGACCCAAAAGTCAATCATGGCCGAGCAATCCAATAGCTTCATATAACTCTATCCATAACCACCAACCGCTCAGTAGCCAGCCAGCCACCGCGCCCCAAGGCAAAGAGACGGGCTGGTGAAGCGTCACACGTGGGCTCGGGGTTGGCTTCCCACTCGCCGCCCATGAGTATGTCACTGCTTCGAGAAGCCTAATCTAGTAGGGAAAAATCGTTATGGTGGGCTTTTTTTGTAAAAGTGTCAGCCGTTTGGTCCCGGGGGCGTTTTTTGGAATTCAAAGTGTACAAGGATTGTATTTGCAACGGAGCATCCCGAGCACTCTCGCCCCTTCAGGGATCACGCAAAAAAAGCCAAGTTTTGTCTGGGCCAGTCACAGGGCCGGGCGCGGTCTTGGTATTTCGATGTGCAGACTTGGCTTGCGAGGATCCCTGTTCCTGGGATGCGGAGGGAGGGACTTTTCGCTCGTGGAGAATGGCAATGGGTAGAGGTAAAGGGTGTCGGTTGTTTCTCGAGGTATTTCGCGGCGCACGGGGTGGCGACCCGCGACATTGTCTGGACGGGATCCTTGCGACGGATCGTGTTACATTTGGATAAATTCCAGCACGATTTTGATTGATTCCGCGGGAATAGAGGGATCGCGTGAGGGTGTTTCCTATAAAGTCATGTTTCAGTTGCTGCATGAAGTGCAAGTGGAATGCGTGTAAGCGATTTGATCCCATAAATAGAAGCGTCTGCTACGCGACATTTATGCTTTGAATATCCTTGGTTGGGGGATGTGTCGCTTGAATTGAGAGAGGAGCTCCCCTTGAAGGCTATTTTTTAGACACAGCTTAACAAGCATCCCCTCCATGTTGAGCACCCTTTTTGATCTGATGCATGGTTCAAAGACGGTGTGTCAATATCCAACACAACGGATGAAGTGAAAGCGTGATACTGTTGCATTGTACGTGTGTACAGCGCCTGAAAACCACCGATTCGCCGTAGGCAATGTAAACGCAGGTAAAGTCGGCAGAAGGCTGGCCCATTGACACGCCGGTGCGAGTGACACGGATGATGGACATGTATGTACTACGTACTAATCTTGTCATCTGGCGGGCAGGTGATGGATGAGCGGCACATCTAGTTGAGTGATAAAAAAGCGTCTTCACCATGCGAGCGCCACAAGGAGCCAGAGGCAATCCTGCCTTTTCAAGCTCGCAACAATCTATTTCAATCGCCGTCATGGCCGTTTTGCTTCGTCGTGCGACAGTGACCGGACGGAGAGCATGGGCGGATAACCTCGCCCCTCGTTTCAAGATTCCTTGCCTCCCAATTTGGTGCGCTTTAGGGTTTTATCTTTACCAGATGTGTCCCGCAGCACGTTTTCAATACACGCCAAACAGGAGGTTTGACGTTGCGTGTCGCTTTATCCGCATTGATCAATCTTTCAGCCTCATTGCAAGTTGACTGAGTGGGATACAATCCGCGGTCTGTTGTAAGTGATCTGCACATCTGCCAAAATGAGGTGACTGGATTTTGCCAGCGCATAAAGCGCCACCGTACATGGTGGTCTGGGGATAGGGCGTCATTGTCGAGCCAATGGTCAGTTATTACCTACTCGCTCATCAAGTCGTTAATGTGCACATCCAGAGACGCGGGGTGCGTGAGCGCCTCGTATGCCTTGAAGATTTCCCACCGCCATCCCGCAGATGGGCATCGTTATTGATGCATCGGTGGAGGAATAGTTCGGCCGCCCGGGCAGAATAAATAAGCTTAGTTAACCTTGTCCCAGCGCATGTAGTAGTATTTAAAAAATAAAAGTAATCACAAATAGTTCAAGTTACGTCGGCCCAGGTGCATACATGGAAAATGGGCTGCAAGCCCGCGCGTCGGATGCTCCTTGGGTCACGATGCTGGTCCATGGTTGGTCTATGCCGTCTCCCACAAGGGCCCAGGCCTCGTCAGAACTTGCCTAGGCGTGTGGTGCTACAAAAGGGCACGGATGGGAGATGCGCCCCAGCATGATAGGCTTCAACCACGACGGTGAGAGCCAAGTTGCGACAAGAGGCGTTCAGCCCAGCTTCGGCTATCGTCCGAGGAGAAGTCTCTTTGGGCGCGGAGTACCGTTGGATGCGGACGGGGGGCGGCGTCACGATTCCATTCCAGGCATCTCGCCAGGCCCCCAGATTTCTTTTTAGCCCGTCACTCCTTCTCGCCGCGGCAATAGCTGGCCCAAACGAGCACCCGAGTCGTCCTTGGGCGAGGAAATGCCACCGGAGCGACACCAAGCTTTCTTCGTGGCGGCGGCCCACTATCACGAGAGGAGCGTGGCAGGGCAGGGGACTTGAGAGAGAGAGAGTCGGCCATGGTCCAGACGCTGTTTCACCCTGCCGTCTCGCGATTGGCGGTTTGCCTGGCTGTCAGTCAACTATTACGTCTATTCATGTTGGTTGGGGATTGATTGATATTTGCTGACAATACAGAGCACAACAGGATCGTGGTGCTCGGTGCGCTGTACAGAGAGGGCACCATGCATGTCATGCTTACTCTTGTTCCAGAGGTGACAGGAAAAGAGATGCGATCGACGCTTGTTGGTCAATTGCGGCTGGGCTGATGGACTGACCCTGGACCATAATCTTGTTTGCGCGGTGGGTAGAGTCCGACAATATGAGGCCACGATGTTTTTATCAAGGGCATTGCCTCAAACGAGTCCACCCGTTGTTCGAGCCGTGTCGTAAAAACGAAAGAAAACAAAATACGTAGAACCACTCGCCTCGGGCGTACACTGTCGTCGGGCGACACGTCGAGCCATTCATGGCGGACCTGGTGCCGGGGTCATGACTCCTTGGTCAATGCCGTCCGTCTTCAACTGATAGCTTCCATTAGATTAGTGGCGTAGAGGAGCTTCGCCCTAGTCGCCCGTCTTTAGTCTTTTTGGCCGGCACCGTTGTGCCGTCGCCAGACCCTTTGATTGACCGGGACCCCATTTACCACATCCACATGGTCGAAGCCGTGGCTGTTTCCCATCAGGCCTATGATGCCGTTCTCAGAGGCAAAGCGTGCCGGGGGGTGGGCGGGAACCCATGGCGCCGGCAAGGCTTTTTTTTTTTGCTTGTTGCTTTGGTGCTTGATCTGGGCTTATTCCTGTTCTCTGCTACGGCTGGCTGTGGGGAGATGGACCGAGTTGTTGGTGGGAGCACGTACTCCGTACTTACCATAAGTGTGTTTGCTGGTGGATGGGGAAGGAGGGAAAAACAAGACGCCGAGCTGGTTCTCGGCACCGCGTAGCCGTGCTCCCAGGCTCAAGATCAATTTGAATGGCACGCCCGTTGGCTCCAAGTGCACAGTGCAGCTGATGAGTGCTGTTTTGCATCACCACCACGTCCTCTGCACTCCGTTCAATGTTCCGTCTTGTCATGGCCCATTTGCCCGTCATGGTCATGGCCCTGGTCTGGCCCTGTCAGGCCTGCGTCCCTGCAGCTCCGCCTCCGCTTCTCGACGCCCACTGAGGCACTGACCGACCCATGCCTATGCCCACGCTCAAGCTGGTGCTTGTGCTCAAGCCTCTCACACACGCCGGCCATGATACTGGACACCAGGCCTGACATACAATATTACATACCTGCTCTTCTGTTCCTCTGTGTGTCTTGCAGCCCCCCGCCCGCTTCCCACCTCCCAGTCCCTCCCTCCCCCCGTCCAGCCTTATATCTCGACCAGCCCGTCTCTCGAATGCCTCTCCCGTGCAGTCGTGCCCTCTCTCTGAATCTCGTTCCCCCAAACTGACACGCATAGTGCTGCACAAAGTATATACATTTTATTTTATTTTATTCCAAACCACGAACAAGACGATTTGGAAAAAGACTTGATTTTCCGCAGTCGAGAAAACCTAGCCGTCTGACTGACTACCTAACTCTTGGCATCCACGCACTCACTCACTTACAAACGGCCCCAAAACGGCTCTCGTCCAAGACCAACGCACATCATCACCTCTTTGCAACAACATCTATTTCTTTAATTTTTATAAAACACCCTCAGACGCCGTGAACGCGAACACGGCTGATACCGGGTCACCCGTCATCGCTGCTCTGCCGCGTGCGTGCATGAAACAGTGAAGCAGCAACAAGACCTCGACCCGCGTCCATCAAACCACCACCACCAAAAAAAAAAGAAACCATCTCGCAGCATCAAAAAAATGCGCTTCTCGTTCATCCTCGCCTCCCTCACAGCCGCGGCCTGCGCCGCCCCGGCGTGGCATCAGGGCCCCGTCATGGCCGACGACGATAACCTCATGGAGCGCAGGGACGTGGTCCGCGTGCAAGTCGTGCAAGCACACACCAGCCGCTTCACAAACATAATGATTACCAAAATCACCCGGTATGCCGCCGACGCCGCCTCGGACGTGCAGGGCTTCTTGAGCGAGTCGTTCCGCGGGGCTGTAGCAGACGGCAGCGGCGAGGTCATGACTATTGCGTACGGCAAGAAAGCATCCCCCTTCGTTGTGGGCTCTGGCATTGGCAGTGGCAGGGGAAAAGGAAAGGGGCTCGGCCGCCATGGCCGTCATCGGCACAGGATTTCGCTACTGGGCTTTAGGAATCGGCTGGCTGTGTTTATTTTGGCCTTTTCCTTGGTTCTGGCTGTTGCGTGCTCATATCTCAGACGGTGAGTTTTTTGTCCAGATTCCCTTTTCTTTTGTTCCCCCTTCGTCTTTCACTCCTGTTGGCGTTTGGGAGGATAGGGGGCTCTTTTGGGGAATGGGCTGTGACTGACTCTTCATCTTCAGGGTGTATATTGCGTCGCTGCAAGAACCAGTAGAGGACCCCGTCGACTCAGCACTGGCCGAAAAGGCCCTGCTGTCACGGAGCACTAAGGAAGACGAGACGAGGCAATCATGAAGAGCCAAGTCGCTGCGAATGGCTGACAATAGACGCGCCAAAGCTTGAAAGGGGGAATACTGCGGAGAAAGGAGTTGCTTCACGGGACGGGCCGTTACTTTGTTATACCGACGAATATATTGCATGGGGTACATTTATATTAATTAGCACGGCGTTATTTATTAGGGGAGGAGGGGGCGCAATGGCTCCAAAGGAAAGACTAGACCAGATTCTCACACCTGACGCTCGCTCGAGACGGGGATCCAATATACTACTAATATACCTTGTGTACGCTCGTAAAAGCGCCCACGAATTCACTTGGGCTCGGAATTGCCGTCATCGCACTCGGTATCCGTGGCCCGTTGCTCCCCTTTGTCCGCTCGTCACCCGAAAAAGGCAATCCGAAAAATACGGTTGCGCTGCCCAACTCTGCCAAAACCAACAACCTGCCCAACAGGCCAATTGGAAAATACCCTGAAAACGAATAGCTACATGAATTTGAACGTGCAGGACGAAAGAGGGGGGGGGGGGGGGGGGGGGGTGGGCCGGAGGGGGGGGGGGGCAGTTTCTGAAACAACGCACCACGCTGCAAAGCAAGGACATGTATTGTACGGAGCATACATAATGTATGCCCCAACCAACAAACTTCACCTCAGAGGCACAAAAATAGAAACAGGTCCATTCTACCCCAGATTTGCCATTTTGAAACGCCAAGCGCAATTCCTTGCCTTGCGATGAGCTGGCCCAGATTCCCGCCGCTCCAACCACGGGTCAGCTGACGTGCCGTCGAGAACCTCGGCTGGGACGGGTATCGTGGGGAAGGACCGATTGCCGTCCCAAGGCGCACCTGTCTTGAGCTAGAGCCGTTGGGAGGTGAAGTCTGTCTTTTTTTTTTTGGCATCGGCCATGGCTACCTATGAGACTGCGCAAAATCAGTACGTGAATGTTGGGGGGACGCGGTTTGCGTACCGGCTACTGGGGAGGGCGTACGGCGTGCCGTTGGTTCTGTTCATGCACTTCAGGTTGGTCAGTGATAGTATTTGCGATTTGCTCCCCTCCCCCTCCCTCCCGGGCCTCGTTTCTGTTTGAATATCGGGAAACGTCACAGTCTGGCTGACGCGGGTCGTGATCCCCGTCTTTCTCTCCTCCAGGGGCACAATGGACCATTGGGATCCGGCATTGATCAATCCGCTGGCTGGGCGCCGGCCGGTCGTGCTCATTGATAACGCCGGTGTTGGACGGTCGCAGGGCCAAGTAGGCAGGACGTTTGCGGACTGGGCCAGGAACTACGTCGACGTGATGAGGGCGATTGGGATCCGGCGAGCGGACGTGATGGGCTTCTCGATGGGAGGATGCGTCGCACAGATGGTTGCCCTCGACGCTCCCTCGCTCGTGCGAAGCCTGATTCTCTGCGGCACCGCTCCGAGCACTGGCGACGGTGTCGTAAAGGCGCCGCTCGGGCCCTTCAACCAGCTCAAAGCCGCCGTGACTGTCGAGGAGCACCGCAGGGCCTTTCTAGATGGCTTCTTTCATACCTCGGAGCGCAGCCAGGCCGCAGGCATGGCCGCCTGGGACCGCATAGCCAAGGCTCGATCTGACAGATCAGATTATGTTGATGCTCAAAACGCCCATAGGCAGGCTGTTTCATTCGTCAAGTTTATGGATCCTAAACAGGCCGCGGGTGCATCGTACGACCGCTTCCATGAACTTCAACTTCCGGTGCTGATTGCGAATGGTACGTTTGTTTTTTATCACACACGTGTGTTTTTCACAGCAAAACTCATCTCCGAGTCTGTCAACCACGAGCGGCTTCGTCTGACTTGAATCATCTCTAGGATGTAATGATCTTCTACTGCCAACAGAAAACAGTATCCTCATGTGGAAGAAACTCAGCCACGCGAATGCTCAACTTCACTTGTATCCCGATTCAGGCCACGGGTTTCTTTTCCAGCACGCCACCGTATTCTCGGGTCTCATAAACGAGTTCCTTGACGACGCTGCGGAACAGACTAGTCGGCTCTGAGGTTCCCGAAATGTACGCTTATCAACATTTTAGTCATTCTGATTATAATACAAATCCATTCAAGGACCAAAACTGTTTTAGCGGTTCTTCTTCACGTGTCTCGGTGCTTCCGTCAGATTGAGATCAAGGTGAAGAGTTTGGTCCGGTTGTCTAATAAGAGTACGAATCTGATTGGGTTCCAGGATAATAGAGTGCAACCTTGGGATGCATGGAACCTTGTATGCGGATGGAAAGACATTTGATGCTTACAGTGCGGAAACCTTGTCACCTCCTCTGCTTGTCCATCACCTTGGACCAGGAGACCAAATGATAAGACAAGATGCATGGTGACTGTGCAAGGTGAGCCAACGGAAGCGTGCAAAATCGCCGGGAGTCGGGTACACACGTCCACAAGAAAGCTGCACCGGTGGGCAACGTGGCAACCGCCCGATGTCGCTCACAACACCATCGCCATCGCGGGTTGGCGCCGCGTCGTCAATGCAGTGACCATGCATCGTTCCCGTCGCGCAATGGCAACACCAGTGAGATTCTTCTGCAGTCTGAAAGTTGCGCCCGGATTGGCCCTTGGCATACATGGCGAACGGGCACAAAACAAGAAAAAGATGCGGATCGTGGCCGCCCCCCCGCGATTTGCATGAGGACCGTCCCGAGAGTTCGCACCAAGTTGCTACCTGTCATGCGGCTCCCCGTGCTTTTCTCTATGCAAGTTCCTGAGACACGACCTTGCCATTACATGGGATGTAAGGAGTCCATGGAGCTCAATTCATTCAAACCATAACGCCTATTGGATTGTTGGCCGAGTGATGAACCCAACATGATGCAGCTAGCCGCTGGGAACACTGGGAACACTGGGAACAGACCGTCGGTGAAGCTGGTCCCCAACCCCGGTGTCTGTGACACAGTGTGTGTCTTTTGTCAGTCAACCATGTCGACGATGTCTTCAGCAAGCGCTCCGAAGCGACCGAGCCAGACCGCATACGGCTCGGACCCGTCAGATAATGACGATGGCGTTGCGCTTTTTGCCGGACGATAAGTAGCGCCACGTCCTTGTTTCCTTTGCGTGTTCACTTGTGAGTAGTCCGCCACATTGATTCAGCTGTACAAATCTGGCCCCATTCATGTCCCGACAGCTTGGGACGGGGCTGAAACTAAATTGCCTCTTTCCCCTTCAAATATAAACAGAGCCGCCATAGACAATCCCTAGCGGCCCCGAGGACAACTCGAAATACCATCAGAAGATGGCGGCTCCACAGTGTTGTGGTGACTCAAAGAGCCAGTGTACACGAAGCCAACGTTGCTACCAAATGGCAACATTTGCCGAGTTACCTACTGAGCTTCGACTCAAGATATGGTCCTGCGCCGTGGAACCCCAGGTTGTTATCTTGGACGACCTGGTTCACCAAAAGCAGGCATATCCATTGCCCTCGGTCACGCAGTTGAATGCGGAGGCCCGCGCAGAGACTCGACAAGGCTATGAATCAGTCGGACGCGGGTCATGGTTTCACTTTTCACGAGATATATTGGTTTGTGACGCCAATATTTCGGACCAGAGTCCGAATATGCCACTAGAAGAGTTGGCGCTGCGCGTGCAACGGCTCGCGTTCTGGGACTGCTTTCCCGACGATGGCCGCATAGACGGCCCGTGCCATTACTCGGAGTATCTCGCACGATGTTACCCTGGCGGACACGACGGCAAAATCGAGTTTGACAAGTTTTGGTTTCCAAACTTGAGAGATCTTTGGATCATAAAGATCGGCGAGGTGGATCGGTCTTGGATGGTAGGGGTCGACAAGGACGTGCCGTGCGAAGTTCGTCTTCGAAAAACGGCACGACAGTTCCGATACTGGGTCGACGAGAACATTATTGAGATTGCTCCATTAGACCTGAACGAACCAGAGACCAAGCTCATCCTGCGAGAAGGAAGGTGCGGCAAAACGGACTGTCAAATGCTGAACCACGGCCGGCAGAGGATGGTGTCCAAGATTGTCTTTGTTGATGGCAAGTACAATGCCAACAGGAAAGACAACAAAGCAAGCAAATGGAAACAGATTTGGCCTTGGTCGACCATTATCGAGCAAGGGAGCACGGAAAGCGATACATCTGCCAACCGAATGAGATGGATCATGGTTGAGCGTATCCTGACATTTTCACTGCGATGGGACGGTTCTGAAGACCTGGGTGAACCAGCATCTGACCACCGACGAGTACGCCATGGGCAGGGAGCTATAAAACTTGTATAAAGTTCGAAAAAAGAAAACTGAGAAAAAAAGAAAAAATACGAGAACTAGCTAGTACGGCATACTCTTAGATTCACGCACATATATACGCGACTTTGAGCAAGACGACGTGGCCTTGAGATGAGACGAGGAATCATTAAGTGGAACTCGAGGACTTGAGGACTGAACACAAGAGGAGGAAGGTGCGTCGCACGAAGCACGTGCTTCTGAATATCTTCAGAGCCCCGTTACTAATCAACGGGGCTTACTTACATGGCAATCAATACTCAGGTTTGTGTCCTGCGATAGGTTTGAACATCTTTATGGCACTGTTTGTCGACTTTCAAGTTACCAATCTCTCGCCTGTCATTGGCGGCGACTGGGAAGAGCAGCGTTTCGTGTCAACTACCTAGGTACGCATACCAGTACCATGTACATAGCCGTCCTTTTACCATAATCAGACAATTCAAGTTATCGTCTGAAAATCCTCTGTCATTCCGTTGAACCGATTAGAGTTGGATAAGGGCTTCAGACCAGAACTGGGTTGTGAAGTTGTGAACCATGCATATACGCCTTAACCAGAGGGATCGTCTAAACAACAAGTTTAGAGGCGCCACGGAGAATATGTTCTGCATCATCACCGTGCCATAGATGTTGGCATGCAGCCTTGTTAGATGGTGCAGTATAGAAAACCCTCCAAACTTGATATTCTGGCTACAGGGCAGGGTTACAGACTTACAGGCTACCGCAAGACGTTATGTATCCATCGTCGGCTGCAAGGC